ACCCTTGTGATGTAAGGTAAGAATAGAGTTTAGGGTTCAGGGTTTAGGGTTTAGGGTTCAGGGTTTAGGGTTCAGGGTTCAGGGGTCAGGGTTTAGGGTTTAGGGGTTTTAGGGTTTAAGGTTTAGGGCTTTGGACTTTTGGGGCTTGGCTTTTCAAAGGGTTTTGGTCGGATATTTAGTGTTAGGTTCCTCATTATAAGATGACAGGAGGGGCGGGGGTTCTTTGTCAGTGTTCGACTGTTAACACAAGGGCCAAAATCATTACCAGCAGTGTCATGAGGTTCTTCATCATGATTATTCTTAAACCCGAATTAAACCCTGAACCCCTAAACCGTTAACCCTAAACCCTTTAATTTAGGGTTTAAGAGTTTAGGGGCTCGGGGATTAAGGGGATGGATGATATATCCCTGGGGGGCTCCAAGTCTTCAAATAATGCCCACTTTGGGGTCTAGCGCCTACAAATTGAACCTACTTAGGGTGTAGGCTTTAGGGAACCTACTTTTGGCTATTTGGATCCCCAGGGTATAGCAGGAATGCTCGCAGACTTGAGATACACTCGGAGATAAAGCCGTCTTGAAGGATCGGGGGCACGTGAAGACTTGCCACCCTGTGTTCGCAGGGACAAGACTCTACTGGCAATTGGAAAGCTTACAATGGTATATATATGTATGTATGTATGTATGTATGTATGTATGTATGTATGTATGTATGTATGTATGTATGTATGTATGTATGTATGTAATGTATGTGTGTATGTATGTATGTATGTGTGTATGTATGTATGTATGTATGTATGTATGTATGTATGTATGTATGTATAGACTTATTTATTTATTTATTTAGCTTCTAGACTATGATAAATATGTACATGTATATATGTATCGTATATTATGATGTGACTAGTCGCATCCGTAGCCGTAGAGGACCGCTCTGGTCTCGGCGACACCTTTGGTCTTTTGCTTCTTATGCCGTTCATCATGATCGTTGTGATGGGCATTATGGTCCATTCTTTGGCGGCCCTGCCGATCCTGATGCTCTACTTTATGGCGTTTCCGGCGATTTTGGCCATGGTTTCTTGCATGACCGGTAGTTTTCTTGCTCTGCTGTGCGCCGGCTTCAGTGCTGTCGTATGGACAGGCAGTATAGTCTGGCTCCGCTCAGCGCGTGCAGAAGCTGACGGAAACTTGCTTGATGTTACATCAGGCGAGGAGTGAGCCATGCAGGGTGCTATACTTAGATCGCCAATAGGTAGGAGAACTTTAAACTTGTTGGCCTTATCTATTAGGTCTATCCTAAAAAGTTTGAACTTTTTTGGGCCTGGTTGTTGAAGAAGAGAGTATAGGCTACAGGTGATATCTTTCCTTTGTTCCTCATTGTTACTGTCATGGTTAGAGCTATCATTGCTACGAATATGAGGATTACTCTCTGCATCACTGTTCCATGGCTTCAGTCCTCTACAGTCTCAACCAGCAGCCGATTGCCGAGAAACAGATGATCGTCGCGCTTGCTGTTAGACCTGCTGTCATCATGATGTTGGGCTTGGGGCTTCGAGTTTCTGGCTGAGGGATTCGCGCTTGGAGCTTTGAACTTAGGGCTGATTGCTTTCTTCAGGTGGCAGGTGTTGGATCTGTCAGGTTTCATTCTGCATAGACGAATATCAGCGTATTGGTTCTCGTTGTTTTCGCTGCCGTGGTTGTTGCGCGCACTCTCCCGAGGCTTCGTTTTCGTGGGGGCTGTACCTGTCTATTGACCCGACTTTCGGAGCGTGTGTAGGGTGCAATTATATACCTTCATACTGTGAGCACCGCAACCACTCAACACCGGAAAACCGATTTGCTTTGAGCTGCTCAAAGCTGGAACTTGCCCTTAATGGAATTAGAGTTCAATTGGTTTTTAATTAGTAGTGTCTACCTATATCCTCACGGAGCTTCTGTTTTCGGCTGACCTGCTTTTCAAGGGTATTTCGCAATTGGCAGTACCGCATCTCTGCGAAACCAGTTTGGCGCGGGGTGTGGCATGTTGTGTGAATCTATGAGGCGCTGGCAGTTGCACTTGAATCCTTATTGGTGCCCGTTTTTGTTTCGAGAGGTGTCGCTGCGGGAAGTGTCCGGTCGTGGACTCGGAACTGTCACATTTGTCAGGTTTCTGGGTTGCGCAGATCCGGCAGTGCAAATCCTAACGCCTCCCAGCGACACCCTGACACCCTCGCTGCGAATTCTAGTCCGAACACCTTACCTAAGTCTCCGTGGTAGTTCCCTGCGTGGCTAAACACGGCTAAGACCAATGCAATATTTACGAGCGGAATTACAAAAAGGAACTGCAATGGAGACTCTAGGTAGCACCCTAAGCCAATCAACTCGGCACAACTTTGGATTTTGAGTTCGATCTGAAGCCTAAACCCTAAACCCTAAACCTGAGGAACTACAATGGAAACTCAAGGTAAATTGCATCTAATACGGACTCACATAGACTCTAAAAATCACCAATGACCGAGGAGTGCCACCATGGCGCAACCTGACTCAGACATGGTTGAGGGTTTAGGGTTTAGGGTTTAGGGTTTAGGGTTTAGGGAGTTTGGGGTTCCGGGGTTGAGGGTTTCGGGGCGTTTAGGGTTTCGAATCTGTGGTTTAGGGTAGTTTAGGGTTCAGGGCAGCCAACCATATCACCTTGTTTCGGCTTGATACCTTCAGTTTAGGATTCCCGTGGATTCCCTGTTTGGGGTCTTGATGATACCTCAGAGTTCATCACGTGGTCTTGCCGAGGTCCCAAAGGCGGTTTCGAACCAACCAAACTCGAGTCCACGGTGGCACATGGGTTTAGGGTTTAGGGTGTGTGTAGAGTGTGTGCTTTCTGGTGCGTGCTTTCTTACAAGGTCTCTGTACTGCAGCCCACCTCCCCAATGAGGCCCACAAGCCAGTCGAGTCTTGATAGGATCACCCCTTAAACAAACCCTAAACCTCTAAACCCTTAACCGCAAACTAAACCCTAAACCCGAAAACCCGAAAACCCGAAACCCGAAACCCTAAACCCCTAAACCCCTAAACCCTAAACCCTAAACCCCTAAACCACCCTAAACCCTAAACCACCCAACCACCCTAAACCCTAAACCCCTGAACCCCCAAGCCTTCCTTCTCTGAAGATCTGGGAGCCTTTAGGGATGGCAGGGGTGGCCATGTGCTTCTGTGACATGCTGGGCGGACTAGGACGGTTTAGGGTTTAGGGTTTAGGGTTTCTTAGTTCCCCAATACCCAACCTTCAAACTTTTTGGGTTCTTATAGTAATCTGCAAGTTTAACCGTTTATTTCCCTGGCTAATGGGGGAATGGGAAGCAAGGTTCAGGGTTGAGCTCAAGGTTTAGTGTTTGAAACAGGGGGTCAGCGCGCCTTGCAGCATGTGCTGGCTAACACCGTTTACCTATGAGGTTTAGGATTTTTTTGGGGTAGTGCTTTGGGACATTCTATATTTTCTCTTATTGGGCTTAAGAGGATCTTACCTACTAATATTTTTCAAAGGCAAAACGCACATCCTAGTTTGGGGGGTTTAGGGACCATACGGAAAGGTGCTTTGGAACGCCAAAGCTACGTACGTGCCAATGAAGGTGTGATGGCCAGAAGCAGACTGACAGCAGAAGAGACCACAGCTCATGAATACTGTAGGGGCCTTAATAATTACCAATACTATTCTGGGGGGGGGGGGTTCCTGATTATGATTATAGTACAGTGGGCTCCAGAACCCTACTGTAATTATTAAGACCCCTATATTAGCGTCGGCCTTCTCGAGGGTCAAACTCTATCGCTCTCTCTCTCTCTCTGTCTCTTTGTGCAGCCGGGGCGGGAATTTACATATCTACTTGCAGGACACCAATGCCAAGCACGAGCACTACAAGGACTGCCGGGTCGGTGTGTGCTCGCAGACTAGCACAGCTGTGCCATTTTATGAACAGCTGAGACCTAACGACCTGGCCGTAGACTGCAGAACGGTTAAGGACGGATGCCTTCCAGGCAAAATTGTGGACCCCGCTGCTTGGTGCCTCCACCAAACTTCACCCCGCTATAACCCAGTTAAGAGCAATTTGATCGAGCGAGCGGTCAGAACCCGAAGCAAATGATTTTGGGTTGTGTGGTCCGCCAGGAATGGGTAGCCCAGTAGCCCCCAGATATCCTAGGCCCGAGTCTTGGTATCAGAATCAGAATCCTTCAAGCGACTTCACTCAGAGTGTTCTTATACGACTGTCGACAGAGGTGGGCCTGCCTGGCATCGTTCCAAGCATTTCCATCCCATGCGACGGATCATGCCCAATGACTCCACAACGCCCCCATGAAGGTGTATGGCATAAGTTAGAATATAGGAACCTTACCTGGAACGCGCCAGTTGCACACTTTTATTGGCAACTATTTTATAGGGCCATTTTCCTGCAACTTTGAAAGTTGCCGGGTTCCGGGTGTGATGTGCAACTTTGCAGGAACTCAGGCTCCCATTTTCATGTCGATCATGACAGCTAACATGCATGATGTTAGCTCAAGGATCTGAAATAGTGATATATCATGTCCAATCACTCCATGTAGCCTTTCCATGATCATGTTCGGACCATGCTCATGATCATGTTACACCTTATAACATGCCATGCATGGAATGATAGGCCATGTACATGTACATTACACAACCATGCATGCATGTACTCATGTTCATGTAGCTGCTGCTCGTCGGTCCACCATCCGCCTGCGGCAACAATGGAGGCGGGCTGGTTTGCAAGTGACAGCTCTATGCAATCAGGAAGAGTTTGCTTCTGCTACATTGCAGCAATGGCTTTGGATTGTGCAATCTGGCATGAGCTCGGCATGCTGTGATTTTGCTGCAGTGAAGTTCGAATCATGTGATGGTAGCAGGTAGATCTTGACATGCATGAACCCTTCATGGTCAAGGAACTATACCATAATCTGAAATCATTAGTTCACTGAGGGCACATGGCAGGGCTCATGCGACATATCCATGTTACAGACATACATGCATGCATGCATGCATGAATGCATGCACGTTCCATGCATGCATTGCATGATTTCAGTGTGTAATCCTTTGGCCGATCTTGTGTGTGAGCGATGGCTGGGGAAGACTCTATGCCTCCTGCAGCTGCAGAAGGGCCTGCACCTTCCGAGCCTCCGAAAGGTAAACCTATGGCCTTTCACCCTCGGCCTTCAATTGGTAAGGGTCCGGGGTTTGCGCCAGCTCCACCACCAGTGGGGCTTGCAACGAGGCCTGGGCTTGGAATGATGCCTGGAACGGTTCCTCATCCTCCACTTCCACTGATCCCACCAATGCCGATGCCGATTCTGCACCCTACAAGGATGGGTTTCCCGGGTCCTCGAGCTCTAGTGGAGCCGCCTGGGTATATGTTGTTTATACCACGTGATGTGATGCGGAACTCCATCGCCTGGGACTACACGCTCCCGTACCCTGAGTCCATACTGGGCCTTCCGGGCTTGCCAGGGCAACGTCCTCCACGACTCGTGCAAGATGCGGAAACCCAGACTCCGAGGCCGAAGAAGCTCGAGATCGGAGTTGGAGAGGGTGCTGCCGTTGTCAAGACTTCCGAGGTGGAGGTTACTGCAAAGCCTGAGGTTGAGGATGCGGTAGTTGGTGTCCCAGACGACATAGAGGAGCAAGCTTGTGTCCCAGACGACATAGAGGAGGAAGCTCGTGTCCCAGAGGACATAGAGGAGGAAGCTCGTGTCCCAGAGGACATAGAGGAGGAAGCTCGTGTCCCAGACGACTTAGAGGAGGAAGCCGATTATGATCATGAGGAGGAAGCATACCCAGATGGTGAGCCGACTGATGGGGAGGCCGAGGCGGACGATCTGGCTACGATGTGGGACGCGCAGTATGAATATGAACAAGATGGCTCAGAGGACCCAGAGGAGATGAGGCAGCATCGACGCCGTCCCAGAGAGCCAGTGGAACCTCCGCTGATGAAGGCCGGTCACATGTGGGTGAATCGTCCTCCGCCACCAAAGCGTCTGCGACAGGAGGAGTGATGGAGCGGGCTTGCAGCTGCATGTGTATGAAAACTGTGTGACGCAGCATGACTGACAGCAG